CTCTTGCCCCCCCCCTGCCTGTCTAGCTACCAGGCAGCGCTGCGGACAGGTGGCCGACGGCCCCACACTCGACTCCAAGCACACAGAAGAAGAAAAGAACACACAGGCATAAACTTTTGGCGCTCCGCGCGGATTTCTTGGATCCGCGCTGAACCCCCCTCCCTGGCGCGCGGAGCGCGTCAGGGGCGGCGCCGAAGGCGCCGCCAGGGGGGGCCCAGCGCGGATCCAAGAAATCCGCGCGGAGCGCCAGAAGCGTATGTGTTTGCGTGTTCTTTCCTTCTTCGAGGAGATACTCTCAGCGACCTGCGTCTTTTCTTCTGTTCTTCTTCGAGGAGACCCTCTCAGCGACACTTCTTTTTTTCTTCTTCGAGGAGACACTCGCTGTGTGCGTGTGTGTTCTTTCCTTCCTCGAGGAGACACTCTCCCGAACTCGCGGCGATGCCCGCCGCGGCCGACACGGGCGTGGGAGGCCGAGGACCGGCAACGGGGGGCGGCCGGGGCGCATAGGAGGTCCGGTGAGGCCCTCCTCCGCGTCACGGCCGTGCCCGTGGGCGCACAGCGCCACCACCAGAGCGCCCGGCTGGCACGCAGCGATGAGTCGGCTACACGCCAGAGTGCCCCTCCTCCTCCTCCTCCTCCTCCTCCATCTCCTCCTCCTCCTCCTCCTCCTCCTCCTCCTCCTCCTCCTCAGCCTTCCCCTCCTCATCCCCCTCCTCCTTCTCCTCTTCCTCCTCCTCCTTCTCCTTCTGCTCCTTCTCCACCTCCTGGGTAGGAGTGACCTTTGTTGCGCGGCTTTTCGGGGGATGCCGCAGGGGGGGCCGAGCACGAGCGCGCAAGACGCCACCACCGCATCGCGTTCGGCCATCCGGGGGACCCCAGGGGGCCCGCACCCATGGTCACTCTTACGCATAGCCGAATGCGGCATGTCGCCCGCTGCCGGGATGGGCTGCGTCCAGTCATGCAGGCGCGCGCTGTCCTGATGCCTGCCCGACGGCCCTGGAGGGCCGTGCCGGAGATGCCACCGCCCGGAAGCGCCGTGAGGCAGCGAGAGAGCTGCACCGCCCCGTCGCGCACTGGGCGGCGGCAGCCCGCGAGAGGGAGCAAGGGCTCGTTCGCTCCTGCAGGCGCTCCTGCGGAGAGAAGGAGGAGGAGGAGGAGGAGGAGGAGGAGGAGGAGGAGGAGGAGGAGACGGAGGGAAGGGCTGGGGCGGGGAGGGGACAAGGAGGAGGAGGAGGAGGAGGAGAAGGAGGAGGAGGAGCAAGAGAATAATGAGAAGGAGAAGGCGGATGATAGAGAAGCAGGGGAGGGGATGTGTCAAGGAGCACTGGGAAGAGGGGGGGCGAGGCACGCGAGCACTGCTCTCACTCTAGAAATGGATCTCTACAGATCTCCCCATTCTCCGCCTCCTCCTTCTCCTCTATCTCTGCTCCCTCCCACTCCTCCTACTCCTCCTCCTTCTTTTCATCCTCCTCCTCCTCATCATCCCTCGACCCTCCTCCATGCCCTCATTGCAGAGGAGCCTTGAATCGCTTCGGGGACATTGCCTGAAGTCTTGGAAGTAGGAAGCAAGAGGAGCGGAGCTAAGCGGAGCTACGAGCTAGGCAATGTGGGGGGAGCGATGAGCGAGCAACGCTCACCCTTGAACCTGTCGTGCCCACGGGCGATCGGCTGCGCAAGTGAAGGCGAGGGCTGGGAAGGGGGCATCGGGAGGGGGGACAAGGTGCGAGGCGGAAGGGAATAGAAAAATGCGGTCTCCCAGGAAGTATGCACCAAGCGAATGCGGACCGGATTCTGTGAGGAAAAGCTGCCCAGGCCCTCGGCTGACGCACCCCAGGCCGCTGCCCTCTCCCCCGGAGACCAAGCTTGCCCGGGTCACCCTTGGTGGTCGTGCTGACGCTGCGGACCTTGCGCAGCTCGGCGCCCTCCAGGTAGGGGTGCGACAGTGCGTCTCGGAGCGGGGGTGGGGCGGGGGCGAACGCTGCGCCCGGAAGCAACAAAAAGAAGGAGCGCAGTGAAACATGTAGAGAGAGAGAGAGAGAGAAACGCCTCCGCACGCCTCTGGTAACCTCCCCCTCCAGCCGGAGGCCACACCGCAGTTGTCCCCGCTGGTCTGCACTGCCTTCACACGCTGGTTCAGATGCGCCTCGCCGAACGGCCCCAGAGCCAGAACTACGCCTCATCTGAAGTCTGACATCACAGCACAGGCCAAATGAGGCGATGCGAAGCCTGGGGAGAAGATGGCGAAAAGGCTGGCCGGCATGGCCGGGATGGGGAGAGGGCTGCATCCCGTGACCCTCGCCCCCCGCGCCGCCCCCGCGACAGCCTGCGCCCTCTGCGAAGCCCCTGCGACGCCCCCGCGACCCGCGCACACCTTGCGCTAGGTCGGGCCTGTCCCCTACAGGGGGATCTTGGACGACAAATTAAAACATACCCACAAAAATGCTCAAAGTATGCCCAAAAATGCTCAAAACGTCGTCCCCAGACCATGGTTTGACTACTTTTGGAATTGTCCTCCTCTAGAGGCACCGGCCCGATTTGCACCTTGCGGCCCGCGCCCGCCGCAGCTCCCCGCGGGCCCTGGCGACCTGGGCCCTTGGGACGAGGATGGGGGAGGACGAGGAAGAGGAATGAGGAGGAGGAGGAGGAGAAGAAGGAGGAGGAGGAGGAGGACGAGGAGGAGGACGATGAGGAGGAGGAGGAGGAGGAGGAGGAGGAGGAGGAGGAGGACGCCTCTCGCGACGACAGCCGCGACGACCGCGCCGCCCGCGGCCCGCGCCCGCCCCCGCCAGCGACCCGACCGCGGCCCGCCCGCGCTGCCCCGCAGACGTCGAGATGGGGCGCCCGTCACGGTCTGCTCAGTGCTTCCTCCTCCTCCTCCTCCTCCTCCTCCTCCTCCTCCCCTCCTCCCCTCCTCCTACCCTCCCCTGCTCCTCCTCCTCCTCCCTCCTCCCTCTCTCCTCCCTCCTCCCTCCTCCTCGCCTCCTCATCCCCGTCCTCTTCTCCTCCTCCTCCTCCTCCTCCTCCTCCTCCTCCTCCCACCTCTCCTCCTCCACCTCCTCCTCCTCCTCCTCCTCCTCCTCCTGCCTTCCACCATCCCCGCCCTCCTCCCAGGAACGGCTCAATGCTTCGTTTCCATGCTCGTGGGCGCTCGCACCGCCCGCGACCCGCCCGGGCCTCGGCGCACAGCCCGGGGGGCCCCGCGGCGGGCCGCTCCCCAGGAGGTGAGGCGCCGCCGTGCCGTGCCGTGCGGGGGGTCCCGGAAGCCCTGGGCCCAGGCACGACGCCGTGCCTCGGGAGGCCGGCGGCTGCTTCCGTGCCCCTTCCAAACATGCGATGCCTCGATTTTTCTGGACGTCCGAAACAGGTATGGAAAAAATGGGTGCGATGCCCACCCACACACGTGGTCCGAAAGCGATAACGGCCGATGCTGGGCAGACGCCCTCTGCCTCGTGCGGGCAGCGCCCGCGGCGACGCCGGGAGGGAGGGGAAGGATCGCTGCTGGTCTTCGTGCCGGCTCTCTCCGCGCCCACTCCGACCGTGCCGATTGTCCGTGCGGGGGCCCCGGGAAGCCCCGACCCTCTCCCCCCGGAGAGGAGGAGGAGGAGGAGGAGGAGGAGGAGGAGGAGGAGGAGGAGGAGGAGGAGGACCGTCGTCTCAGCCCGACTCTCTCCCCCCAGGACCGTCGTTTCAGCCCGAGTGCTTCTTGCGGCGGCCCCGGGGGCCCCGCAAGAGCGGGCCCCCGGGGGCCGCGAGCGGCCACAGGCCTCCCGTGCTGCTTCTGCGCACGACGCGGGCACGTCTGGCTCCCTCTCTCTCTCTCTCTCTGCACGCCCGGGGGACGCACAGAGACATACTATTACGTTTCTGTTCTCCTTGGAGGCGCGCGTCCGACCCAGACATCTAGTATACCTATCTTGTAGCGCATCGCTTCCCGAGCGGTGTGGCCTTGAATGCGCCCGCCACGACGCACATACTACGAGAGGTCTCGGTGCGTGCATCGCCCCTGGGGGGGGGGGGGGGCGACGCACACATCGTATCAGTATGTCGGGGTGACGCCGATCGATTCCAGTCGCCCCTGACCACTTTCTTAGGGTGGAGGGCTCAGGGTGAAATCCACATGGGCTTTTGCATCTCGGAAATCCATCCGTCTCGTGATTCGCCTTTTGCAGATTCAAACCTCGAGAAGCAATCGAAACGGCGTTTCAGATGTCACCCTTTGCCCTCCACCCGCAGGGAATGCTCGGTGCCCCCCCCACCGCCCGCCCGACGTCCGCGGAGCGCCCCGCGCCTGGGAGGCCCCTCCGCAGGCCCGGGTCGGGCACGAGCAGCTGCGTGACCAGGTCGGCGAGCTCCGCGTCGAACTGCGCCTGCGCCAGTGGCGGCCGGCCGGCGGCGGCGGGGGGGAGCGCCCGACGGGCACCGACGATTGCGGCCCTGGCCCTTGGCCCGCTGGTCACCCACCAGCCCCGGACGGGATGGGCTTTTTGTAGGAGCGAGCGGGAGAGGAGGAGCTAGGAGGAGGAGGAGGAGGAGGAGGAGGAGGCGGAGGAGGAGCTAGGATCTAGGATCTAGGATCTAGGAGGAGGAGGAGGAGGAGGAGGAGGAGGAGGAGGAGGAGGAGGAGAAGGAAGGAGGGAGGGAGGGAGGGAGGGAGGGAGGGAGGGAGGGAGGGAGGAGGAGAAGAGAGGAGAGGGGCAGCCGCCGCGCAAGCAGGCGGGCAGGGTCGGGGGCCGGCAGCGGAGAGGGGCCGCCCGCGGCGCCAGGAAGCGGACACGCTGCGGCTCAGCGGCGCAGCGGCGCTGCGGCGCAGCGGCGCAGCGGCACTGCGGCGGTGCTGGCGGGCAGGCGGGCTGCGGGCCGGCGGGCGGCGTCCCGAGCTCTGAGCCTCTGGGGGGCCGCTCCGGGCACCCTCGCAAGAAGGGCCCCGCGGATGGAACAGGCGCCCGGGGAGGGCGTCGGAAGCTCCATGAGGAAGGCATCTGACACCAGGCCCAGGTCTCCTATCTCTCCCTCCCTTTTTTGTGTCGTTCTCTCTCTCTCTCTCTCTCCCTCTCTTCCCCCATCCTCCTTCCCTCTTGCCCCCACCCCATCCCTCTCCCCTCGCCCCTGCCTCCCCTCTCCCCACCCCCGCTGCCTCTCCCCCCACGTCCCCAGACCTCCGACGCCGTGCTTCTACCAATGCAGGGCCCCAGGCGCCTCCCCCACCCCCGCGGTGCAGCTTTTTCATCGCGGGCCGTTTCTTGGGCTGGGGACCTTGTGCAAAAACACATCAGGAAGAGGAAGAGGAGGAGGAGGAGGAGGAGGAGGAGGAGGAGGAGAAGGAGGAGGAGGAGCCAAGGAAGGGAAGAAGGGAGGATGAGGAGGAGGGAGGAGGAGCCAAGGAGGGGAGGAGGAGGAGGCGGATCATGAGGAGGAGGAGGAGGAGGGTGGAGGAGGAGGAGGAGGAGAGGGGAGGAGGAGGAGGAAGGAGGAGGAGGAGGAGGAGGAGGAGGAGGAGGAGAGGAGGAGGGGAGGAGGAGGAGGAGGAGGAGGAGGGGGAGGAGGAGGAGAAGGAGGAGGAGGATGAGGAGGAGGAGGAGGAGGATCAGGATGGGGAGCAGGAGGGGAAGGAGGAGGAGGAGGAGGAGGAGGAGGAGGAGGATTCCATATCTGCTCGTGACGTTGGATGTCTTGGCCCCTCCCTGCGAACCTCCTCCTCTCCCTCCTTCCCGCGGTAAGCGCGCCACGCCGTCCGGCATCCAGGGCGAGCTGCTGATGTTGCTCAGCCAATCCATGAAGAGAAAGCCCGCCTCGTGGAGGAAGGGAGGAGGGATGGGAGGTGGAGGAGGGAAAACCAGGAGGAGGAGGAGGAGGAGGAGGGGGAATAGCAGCGATTGAGGCGCGAGGAAAGGAGGAGGAATGATGCAGGAGGAGAGGAGGGGTGGAGGGCACAGCGAAGGAAACTCCCGCTCACCCTCGCAGGCCGCGGCGGTGCCTGGTGCCGTGAGCGCCCGTGCTTCAGGAATGACGCGAACATCTTTCGCAACACTGGGTCCAGAGTCGCAAGCTCGCACATGGTGATCGCCACACTCCAGACCTTGGCTGTGATCAGTCTAGGCCTGGTCGAACAGAGCTCGGCTACTCTGCGGGACACGATGGTTGGGCAGGAGAGAACGGAAGCGACGAGAGAGAGAGAGGGAGAGAGAGAGAGAGGGAGAAGAGAAAACAGCGGAGGGGGTTGAAACATAATATGTGCTAGATGGCCGCGCGCCCACTGGTCAGTCAGTCGAGCCTCCTCCTCATCATCCTCCTCCTCGCCTTCCTCCTCCTCCTTCTCCTCTTCCTCCTTCTCCGCCTCCTCCTCCTCCTCCTCCTCCTCCTCCTCCTCCTCCTCCTCGCCACCCTCCTCCTCCTCCTCCTCCTCCTCCTCCTCCTCCTCCTCCTCCTCCTCGTCCTGCGGGCGGGGGCCCGCCCGATGACGTGGGTTCAACGGCCCCCCCCTGCGGGGGGGGGAGCCTGTCTTTGCCGGCGCGTGAGCGCGGGCGCCGCCGTCTGCCGTGGTACGCACGCGCTGCTCTTCGCGGAACGCGTTGCCCTCTGTGCCCGCGGCAACGACCGGGAGGCTTTCGTCGGAATGATTAAGGAGGATTCAGCCCCACTGGGGGGCTGTTATGCCGGAGTGGGCCTCGGGCTAAGCCGGATTGAGCGGGATTCAGCGGGATTAAGCCGGATTGAGCGGGATGAAGCCAGGTTAAGCCGGATTAAACCCGGACTAACCTGGATTTCAGACCAGGGCACAAACAGAATTTGACCTCCCAGGAGTTGTATCCTAATTACCTCTGTGCCCGCGACGCCGCCCCCCCCCCTCCCTGCCACTCCCCCTTCCCCCCGGCATCCGACGTCCCGTCTCCTTCGCGGCGGTGGCGGGCGCAGACCTCTCGGGCCCATCT